CCTGCAATTAAGAGATTAGTTTGTCTAACTTGATATATTTTTCATTTCCCTGTTATTTTTTTTGTCTTCTCTTTATAAAAAGGGAGATGCCTAATCGTTGATCAATGAAGTATACATGTATATCATTTACGTCACGAAACGGCCATAGTTTGGCTGCCTAGGACTTGATTACTGATTTTCCCTTTAGAATTACTATGGTATTACCTTACAACAAAAGGTCAACATGACTGTTTTGTTGGGCATTTACGTACTTCACAAAGTAAATCTATATCTGACATTTTGTTTTATATGTCATCATTTTGTTTTTCCTTCATGTTTTGCTGATTCTACATATTGTAGAAAAGAAAGAAGAAGAAGATGATGATGATGAAGAAGAAGAAGAAGAAGAAGAATAAGAAGAAGAAGGAGAAGAAGAAGGAGACGAAAAGGAAGGAACAGAAGAAGCAGAAGAAGCAGGAGAAGAAGAAGAAGAAGGAGAAGAAGAAGGAGACGAAGAGGAAGAAACAGAAGAAGCAGTAGAAGCAGGAGAAGAAGAAGAAGAAGTAAGAGTATCGGCAATAGTAATAGTAGTAGTACTAGGAATATACTATTACTATACAAATACTTGTACTACTACTACTACTACTACTACTACTACTACTACTTCTACTACTACCACCAGTAAAATAACTTATACTATACTACTACTAATACTGCTATTACTTCTAATACTACCACCAATACTACTACTACTACTTCTACTACTACTTCTACTACTACTACTACCACAAGTAAAAATTAACTTATACAAGTAGTACTACTATTACTTATTACTACTACTATTGCTACAATAATTACCACTACTAGTAGTAGTACTAGGAATATACTATTACTATACTAACACTTGTTCTACTACTACTACTACTACTACTACTACTACTACTACTTCTACTACTAACACCAGTAAAATAACTTATACTAGTACTAATACTGCTATTACTTCTAATACTACCACCAATACTACTACTACTTCTTCTACTACTACTTCTACTACTACTAACACAAGTAAAATTAACTATACTAGTAGTACTACTATTACTTATTACTACTACTATTGCTACAATAATTACCACTACTAGTAGTAGTACTAGGAATATACTATTACTATACTAACATTTGTACTACTACTACTACTACTACTACTACTACTACCACCAGTAAACTAACTTATACTGGTACTACTACTACTACTATTGTCACAATATTTACCACTAATACTGGTACTACTACTATTACTACTTCTTCTACAATATCTTCTATGACTACTACTTCTACGACGACGACTGCTCCTACTACTAGCAACACTAGTGAAATTACATCTACTACTGCTACTACGACGGCGACAACTATGACGGCGACAGTAACACCAACAACGAATTACTTCTACTAATACTACCCAAACACCACCACCGCCATCACCATGCTACCATTATCAACTGCAAAAATTACTCATTCTCCCAAAAGTCAAAATGAAGAATTATGAAGAAAAAACAGAGGATATTTAAATTTCAAACTTTTTTTCTTGGCTAGAATCTCGTGCTGTCAAGTCACTTGAACCAAAATACGTCAAGAGGATAAACGCGAGCAGACGAATGAGCGCTCAACTCCTAGGCGGGAAAGGATTTTTTGTTTTTTAATCAAAGTTTTGTCTGTCGACGTTACGGCTGTGTTTGCTCCATTTAGGCCCGATGACATAATCTGTATGAGTCACGTGGTTAAAGTAGAGTGCGAGCCGGCGCCATCTTGCAAAATGATAATGTGCCCAGGGGCCCGTTTCACAAATGTTGGATTATAATGTTAATAAATACGCATATTTCTACTGAGATTGATACGTATCTGTCTAATACAATTTTCTGCTACATCTACCTATAACCTATAGGTTCGTCTTATAAAGAGTTGCGATCGATCCAAATCAATCGCAAGTCCTCTAATCAATCGCGAATTTGCAGTCCCCTATCTCTTATGTACATAGTTGCGGTTGATATTAATCGTAAATAGTTGCGATTGATCGCAACTGTGTAATAAGACGGGGTCCTGGATTAAAATAATGCATCAGCTGCTGTATTTCCTCTATCTGATCTTCCAAATCATCCTCGTAATAATTATGCTTTAAATACCTAATTTCGGCTTCATTCGTTTGTCTTCTTTTGTTTAGTCCCAATCCTTTTCTTTGATTCCTTCTTCATCAGGCCTCAAAACGGATTGGCTTATTTTGCTCTTAAAGCTAACCTATACCAAACAACCTGTGTGAAGGCCTTTAATGATTATGATAAACTGTCTCTTTTCCCGTTTAAAATTTTTTCTTTAATAGCATCTAATTTGCAGCTCCTTTATTTTAATGTTATTTCCTTTTCAAGTAAGATTATCACTACAGTCGAAATGTATAATTACCTAGACGTTATTTTTAACAATAATACTAAGAGGTATAGTGCATTGATAATGAAAGAAGAGAGATAGTGAAATGAAAAAGAAAGTAAAATCGCAAAAAAGACTAGCAAAGCGATGACTATAGCTACATGACAACTCATTCGCGGTAATCATTGCAGGCTTGGTATTCAATAACTCACGCGCACGCGAGCGTAAATTGGACAGTACGATCAAGGAGTTAATAGTACGACCGAAGAAGTCATGATTACGTCTTATAGCTTGGCCCTGTATCGTCCGCACAGTGCATGCGTGCGCCTTGCTAATAAACATTGATGAAGGCGACAGCTCCGCAAAGGTGGCTGTCCGGATTTTGACAGTTTAATCAGCGCTCCATCAATTTACACCTTTGCCTGTTTAACCCCGGTGGAACATCGACCCTCCATACACCCACATCTTTCTGGTATCGCCATGCACCCCCTCTTTTTGTTACCATCTCGCTTCTTACGGCGTCTTAATGGTTTTCTTCATCTTAACATGCTTAATGTTTTCTTGTCTGACTGTCTTAAATTATTGCTTTCTGTATATTACTTCCACGATCATTGTATATCGTTAATTCTGGATTTCCCTTTATTTTTTTAGGGCCGATTTTTCCCACTAAAACAGGCACAAATTTAATATAGACATGTAAACAAACATCGTCTTCGTAATTTAGGCTCTAATGAAACGAATACTAACAACAGTAATTAGTGTGCATTTAGGGCTTCCTTTTAGAATAAAAGACGAATCAGCATCAAATCGTTAACAATTGCACTACTGGTCTGACGTCACAACGATTCAGGGTTGATTTTGCTCTCCCTTTTCCAATAAAGCTTGAAATCAATTCAAAGTTAAAATTTACTATTAAGGAATTACTAAACATGTAATGGTACATTACTTCGACATCATACAAATCCTAACCCTAACCCTATACCCTACAACGTGTCTGTAGAATTATTATATATATATATATATATAGAGAGAGAGAGAGAGAGAGAGATATATATATATTTTAAAAAGGCCTTTCTATGAGAAATAAAACATACACACGTTAAAAGGACACAAAATTGTCCTCCTAATGACAATGTGTATATACATATATGTTTCATTATTACTATTATGAGCGTGCGGGTAGGTAGCGGAATAGTTGGATGTTAAAACAAGTAAATTCTCATAAATGAATGATACACGCCAATAAAACAAAAACAACAACAACAACAACACAAGTTAAAGGATTTAAACAGTCGAAGACACAGAGGAGGTATATTTCAAATAAACCATGTGTAACAAAGGGTATTTGCAATCTATTGTACACGAATAGAAACTATTTTGTAAAATTATTCATGAACCCTTACATAGAAATGGATTGAGGTATTATGGGCAAGAAAGCTACTTACCCATTATCTTGGTAGACAAAACAGTCGTTTGGAGTTGGATAGTAGGCCAATAAGATTAATATGTCATTTAAGTAAAGTACTTAACTATAACTACTTAACTACTATTAACTATAGTCTTTAATAGTAGACAGAAACTCCTTAAAATCGCATGCGAAGTAAAAGTCTTAATTCATTTTTGTTCGTACATTTGAGCATTTTTCTCTCTACAGAATTTTCGAGATTTAATTCTAAAAAACACACAAATGTATATACCTTTATTTTCATAAAGTGGTACTTTCTTATGATTGATCAAAATCTTGATAAAATATTGTTGGCTTCATCGTTTCTGCTAGCGCCTTACCTGATAATTAATCGAATCGGAATGATTTCTAAGTTTGAAATTTGAATTTTTCATCATTCTATCATTCAACATGACTGTTTTACACTGAAGCAACATCATATTAACAAAAGTGAACATTTTATAATAAAATAAAATAATTACATGTATGAGAATTTACAAAATCAAAACATCCCGCCGTGAGTGGAAGGTAAAACTTAGTATATGTATATCTCCTTGAACCGAACAGACGCCATGTGATACTATTAGTTGACAATAATTTCTAGGAAAACAATGGAAAAGAGAAGGGTAGACAGGTATACGAGATTTTTGGACACCCTAGCCATAATTTTGTCTCATTGATGCATTGTTATCTTATAAACGCTGTTCAAATCGTTCCTAATTTCCAGTAATTTTGTCAGTTGTCCCTTCATATTACTCTGGTAATTCATTTTTTTGTTTCGTCCGGAGAGGGGGGAAATATGGATTGACAGTTGAGCAATGAGAATAGCAAGCTCTCGGTGCCAATAGTACAAGCCATAAGCAAAACTGGACAGCTGATTGGCTAATACACCACGCCCTCCCACGCTCTTAGCCAATGGGATGCGGCGAAAGTGATAATGACATGTGTATGGTCGCGTGCGCACGTCGCTGACTCGCGCGGGCAGGACGACTTTTCGAGCCCCTCGCGTGTTCCGTACGTGGCTGTGTTGTCTGCTACGGAAAGATCGTGCGGTTGAATAGCTCACTGTGCAGGGATAGCCCCCGCACGCACGTGTCACAGCGAGGAGTGAGAGAGATATAGAAAAGGAGAAAGCGAGAGAGAGAGAGGGAAAAAGTGAGACCACTGCATCTCTCTGGCTGGGATCGCATCTTACCAACCCCTTCTCCCCTCTCATTCACTCAGGCAACTACGTTCAGGCTAAGACGACGTATACGGCCTCTCCTCTCGCAGTTAGGATCCAGTCTCCACACCACCACCACCACCATCATCTCTTCCAAGTTCGGAGCGGAATCGAGAGGCTAAGTTTACCATCGGGAGAAAACAGAGGAGATTGTGTCATGAAACAGGACTTGTTTATCGGAGGACCTCTCCAGATTGAGCGAAACATGCCACAGGCGACCAACGATTCATTTCAAGAACAGAGTAAGAGAGAGAGAAAAAAAAAACTAATTTTCTTAATTGTCTGTGCTTTCTCGTCAATATTGCATCCTCGTATGTCTACCCGCCGTAATGAATTAGTATAGCGAGGGAACCCCCCGATAATCCACATCCGACGTTTTCAACTTGTCATCTCCATTTCCAATCAAAACCGTTTAGCCGTGAACCTCCAGTGATTACTTACTCTTAACCTTTAATCAGGCTCGAATCCTTAACCCCTCATTTTTTTTCTGGTCCTCCACCCTTAACGCGTCACCAAAGTCTAGCCTCCTTTAACCCTTTACTAATTCACTTCACAACCGCTCAAACCCGCCTCATCAGTAAAGCTATTATCCGGGCGAACGAATTCAAGTTCCCCATCCTCTTTCCGCTCCATTTTCACCTCTTGATGCCGTAGTTTGTCCAAATCATGCATCTTTTATCGCGTTTTCTTCTTCTTTTAAATTTTAAAACCCCGTTTCTCTCCCCCACCAACTTGGTTAGGACTTGAAACTAGAGAGCTGTTCGGGGAGAGCGTAATTGCATCAACCGCGCTTCAGCGTTGCCTGATCTGATTTACGCCCGTACTAAGCCAATTCTTATATTCATCATAATTCGATTTCCTTTCCTCTTCAATTGAATTTGCCCCCGTTCAAGTCGATCCCGGCACGTAATTATCTCCATTTTCCCCCCGAATGCCGCATTGCTACAAATTCTTTCATTTTGGCGACTCTAAATGCTGTGCAGTATCTCAAGAAAATATTAAGAAAAAAATAAAATCGTTTGTCTTTTTATGTTTTGTCCCCGTTTTCTTAGATTGCTCCATCAGAATTAAAACGGATTCTTAATAGTAATCTGTCCCAAACATCGTTTATGAAACCTTTCAATGACTATGATAATCCGTTTCTTTCTTGTTCATAATCTCCGTTATCCTCGATAGTAATCCACGACGTTTTAATATGCAGCTCTTTGTTTTCGCGTATTTTCCTGCTTCTAATAAAAATGTATGTTCTATAATATCATGATAATTTATGATAAGGCTTGATAGTTTATGATTTTGTTGTTGTTTACATTCTTTTTATAATCATTGACTTTCGATCTATACTTACCTGTGGTTTCCGTAGGTGTTAAATGCATTTTGTAGAAATAATTTTATATTGATGGTGTCGTAGATGATGTGTGGTGATTATTTACTTGTATAAGGATTGTTTTGTTCTCGTGACCATTATGGCAGAATACCATTAAGGCTGCTTTGCATAGTTCATTCGGTTCTGTACATGCTTGTAAATTTAGGAATACTCGTGAATTTTATCACAGTTCTTTCTTTTAAATCAATTCGAAAAAGTGATTACATTCAGTACCTCTAAGCCCCTATTTTTGTTTAATCATTTCAAAACGTACTAAATTTGTATGTACGAATGGAAAATTGTTAATTCTCTAAATTCACATCTGCGGATTATAACATTACAAGATTATCTATTTAATTTTTATGAAGCGTCCTAAAATGTTGTTTTCCAATAGCGTGACTGCATGAGGAAAAGAATGACATGAAGAGTACAAAAAGAATCTCTGAACGATTGAAATATTAATACAAAGGGAAGCCATACTTTTATAAAAAGCTTTTTTTAATGAGAAATATTGCATGAACCGAGAAAAGGGTAAAGGCCACTTTGAATTTTCCATATTATGGAAAAGCATTTTGAGGTAAAAGGGCATATGTCTACATCCATACCGTCTCTTGTGGACAGTTAAAGGCAAAAGAAAAGTGTTGGTAAAAGGATTTTTATATTTTGGCCTACCTTCTATGTATGCGTTACAGCCAATTATTGCATTATTAATTGTGTGTTTTATACTCGTTACACGCTGTGACCTTTGTAAAATGCAATCCATCTTAAAAACTTAAGATATTCTCAAATCTTTGTTGATAATTCGTTCAAAGAAGATGAAGAAACACAGCAAATCGGGCAGGTTACAAACGCTGCAGCCGACACACACCCAGGCAAAAGCGTATCGGTTAGGGAGCGAGCTCATAGCCATGACAACCGGCTAGCAGTCACGTCTGCTCTCCGTTGGCAGAAGTACGCCTGCGCCATGCTAACCGAGGACCCCATGCAGACTGCGAGAAATCCAATTCAATTAACGAAATTACATTAGACGACCAATTACTAAATTAGATAGGTATACACACAAGGAAGTTCATGTACTATGAACGGTTCATATAGAGACATACTATCGCAGTTTGTTGACATTTTAGTTCCATTATTATGATACGTCATTATTTTTTTCTTCTAATCATAATCAATTCTCCCTCCGATATCGGTTCCATTCGGAAGCTTGCGCTAAATAAACAAAACTTTGAGAGGTATTTATAATCCAACCACGTATAGTCTGTTATTATATTTTCATTCATCGATACGTGATGTATTTTGGATAAGAGTTCTTTTATTATTTCATCTCATCGCTTTGTGATTGCTTCGTTAATTCATCGCATACTTAGAGAGTAAAGTCCGAAATGCCTTGCTCAAATATTATTAGGCACGATCGTTCTACGGAAAGATAGACATGCAAACGAAAACATCCTCGATGGGTATTTTATCGGTTCCCAATAGGCCAAAGCTTTCATCATCATACCATTGACATTCTCGTAATTAAATTAGTGAGCAAATGTTAAAAGGAATATTTGCACCCTTTCTTTTCTAAAAATCCTGACAAAATAATGATTAGGCTCGCGTGCCGATTCCAATTTGTTTTCATCAGTGGTTTTAATCAATGAAAATCTTTTTTTTTTCTTTTTCTTTTTCTTTCTTTCTTCGATTGAAGTCAATGCAAAGAATGTTTAACCCATATGAAACCACTATAAGACGTGCTTTTATTGTTATTGCAGAAAATTTAAATTTTAGTGTTCAAAGATTCTCTTTTTCTTCCGGTAATGCACCAGATTATGAGGTGATCAAAACGCTGATCTTTCGAAATTATGAAGTTGTTTAGATTAACTAGTTTTCAAATATTTTAAAGTCTTTTACATGATCATCATTATCCCTATCATCATGATTATGATTGTCATTATTATTATTAATGTTTTTTTTACTCAATTGCATTGATTTTTAAAAAAAATCTTTCTGCCTCAAACATTAATTTTTAATTTTTTTTAAGTACTTCATAAACAAAATGGCATAGCATTATGATTAATTACGTAATGCTATTTAATAAATAGTTAAAATAGAATACAGAAATAATTATTACCAACATGTAATATCTGTTCTAATGGTATTGCAAGATGTAATAGACCTTACAATTTAAATCTAGATGTTTCCCCATAGAATAAAAAACCTTAATATAAATGATACGTGACCGTTTTGAAAAAGATGTGCTTGTTTTAAAAATGTAAGCCATTGCCTGCATGGGTGTGCGTGGATTTGGGTTTATTTTCTTATAAAATATTTCTTCACCGAGAAAAGATACATCCTCCGCGCTATGTCTATCCCCATAGCAACATGATATGAATAATGTTTGATCATATTACTGTCATCTAGTCGCAGCAGATATTTGAAACCCATGTTAGATTCACCTTTCTATATTTCATTACTCATTGTTAAAGGTAAAGACCAGTATTGGAAACGCCCCAATTTCAAAAAACGAAATGGAAGCTCTCATTACCAATCATGTGAAAGAATATTTTTTGACTAATACATGATGATAAAAAATTTGCCGGGAAACCGCCTACTAATTCATGTATTTGTTAAATTTGTTTCTCTCATGGTCTGTGAGAGATATAGGGTAGTCCCATATACATCTTTCTGTGTATAGTGCTTGTAACTTTACGAAGAATGGGCCAAATTTCTTATCATTTTGATGATTCCAGAACCTTGCAGATGCTAGATGCTAGATGATCAACCTTTTCTGATCGATTCCACAACGTTTCTTTCACAATGCAATCGCATGACCATAACTGGTCTTTACCTTTAATTGTCCATATATAGAAACTCGTCTTGTTTACATGCATTACCAAAGGAATATTCAATATAGACACAAAGTCAACGTGATAAAATTAAAAGAACAAAGAGATAAAAAGCAATGGATAACATAAATATGAGGGTGTATACATGGATTTTTGTTGTTGAAAAACAGAGCATAGATAATCAAATAATTCATACTATCAAATTTTATAATTTATGTCATCAGATATTTATGTTCATGATCTTTACAAACTGTTAACAGTATCACGTGATTCTCTAATATCAATAGTTCGGACAAAAATGACAGAATTATCATGATCATGATGATTTAGATGCCCTTACCATGCATGTGTTTCTTTAATTCATATAAAAAAACAAATATGACATAGAAGAATTTACGTATACAATTTTCCATCTATACTATTTCATTTTTAATTGTCAAATTTTGTGTCTATATGGATTGCACTATTGCCCAAAGCTTATTTTACAAACAAAATTAAGAATGGAAACTGACTTATTAATTACTTGATTTACTTAATGAATAAACGAATGAATTAACCTTGATTAATTTCCACAATTATAAGGTATTATCAATAATAAATGCACGTTTACTTTTCGACCGAAAGGGAAATAATGACTTAATGATTTTGTTCAAGCTAATGAATATAGATGATTAATAACTCAATATTGATCAATATTTTATAATTTATGAAGGCTGTTATATAATCAGAACTCGATAGACATTGTAAGAACTGATATCTTTTAGGTATTTTCTTCAGAAAAAGTCATCACTTTGGAAGTTTGTTTCTTTATCCTTATAATATCATCGTCATCATTATTAAATTAAAAATTGATGCTGTTAAAATGAATATTATCATCTTCATTATCACCATCATCATAATTCCTATTATTGTCATCACCATCATTATATCATTCTTGTGAACGTGTACTCTGTCAAAACATATTTTGTTTCATTTTGACAGTTTTCTTTAAATGTATTGACAAAAAATTCCATCCCCTTGCCAAATTGATCTCGCTCTGCGAGGGATATGATCACCTATCTTGAACCGTTTCATAATGTTATTTTACTTTAAATATTGTCGACGAATAAGATCAAATTAAATCAAATCATAATTGTTATTATCATTATTCCATTCCTTTGCAGAATCCATCTCACTGTGCGCTGGATGCGATCATCCTATCCTAGACCGGTTTATACTGAAGGTGGTGGACCGGGCCTGGCACGCCAAGTGTTTGCGGTGTGTCGACTGTAACGCTCAGCTCACCGACCGATGCTTTTCCAGAGACGGCGGTGTTTTCTGCAAGGAAGACTTTTTTAAGTAAGTAGATTACAAACGAAATTAGTTTATTCATATGTATTTCTATTACTATCTATGATCATTATTATTGATGATAATGATGATGATGATGATGGTGATGATGATGATGAGGAGGAGGAGGAGGAGAAGGAGGAGGAGGAGGGAGAGGATGATGGTGAAGATGATGATGATGAGGAGGATGATGATTAGGATGATGATGATGAAGATGATGAAGATGAGGTAGAAGATGATGATGATGATGATGATGATGATGGAGATAATGATGATGATGACGATGACGATGATAATTATTATAATCATGGCTTATTGTATTATGCCGGTGTCCACTTCTGGTAGGCGCCTATTGCAGCAATAGGTCCTGCAAATTCAAATTCTATTTTAATTTTCGTTATATTACGCAATGATCTTGTAATGTTATGCATGCTTTTGTCGATGCTATACCGAGTATATTCCATGGTAAATGTCAGAGCAGGTTGAAAAAGGGGAAGTAGAAAGCGACACTAAATTATTCCGTCAAATCAATCTCCAATATGGAAATTGATTTAATGATCATCAGATTATTATTTTGGATGAATATGATAACGAATATTTAAAATGAATATGAAAGTAGAAAGAAAAAATAACAATGATAGGTAAATAGGCTCATCTGATAGATAGATAGATAGACAGAAATATATATATATATATATATATATATATATATATATATATATATATATATATATATATATATATATGGAGAAAGAGAGATAGGGGAAGAAAGAGAAAGAGAGAGAGAGAGAGAGAGACAGAGAGAGAGAGAGAGAGAGAGAGGGGGGGGGGGTGGTAGGTCCGAACTAATCAGGCTTATTTGAGCCTCGGGGGTGTCTGTTCGCGTCATGTGAATTAGGACAACGCCCTGAAGAGTCACTTCATACCAGCTTTTCCCCTATACAAGATACGACGATGCCACACCCCCTAAGGGTAACGGTGACATCGCCGCGGAAACCCTCCCGACCAACCGTCGTGATGAGGTAGACCGATGGCCGGGGGTGAAGAAATGCTCGGGTATTGGCCGCTGACACCTTAACCCGCCAACTCTCCCCCGAACCCATCTTCCTCTATGATCGCATTAGCGCTGGCTGTAAAGGGGTTAAGGGCAATCCGACAGACGGAGCAAGGTTCATTCACCGGGTGGTGTTATAGAGCATCTTCCCCTTTCGACATCGCTTCAAGATATGTAACCCCCTTCGAACCCTTAACACCCAACGCAACTAGACATGTGCAAGATGTTTTGGCGCGCGAAATGAAATTTACATCATGTAGCCCGCAGTGGAATGCAGAAGGGCGCGAAATATAGCTTATCCTTTCACCTATCATGCGCCCTACGGATACCGCTTAACTGTGCCCCGTTTGCGCCTGGCACCCTGGCCGCGGCGCCAGAACAGATTGCGTTGGCGCCACTTCCGATGATCTCGTGCATCGCACTTGCAGGTTGTTTACCTTTTGAAGGTGTTCTCATTTTCTTACTGAATAATCTCGCTGGAAGTAGAGCAAGATGGGAACTATTCCAGTTATTCGTCATGACCATACCGGTACCGTTTTAGCGACAAAGGAAAGGAGACAGAGATAAATAGATAGAGAGAGAGAGAGAGAGAGAAAAAGAGAGAGAGAGAAAGAAAGAGAGAGAGAGAGAGAGAGATATGTAAAGAAAAACAAAAGCCATGTAGACAATAAAAGTGTATATCGATTTTCGTGAATGAAATACTAAAAAGGTTATTTTTTGTCGTTGAAGATTATGCAACATTTGTGATTCCTTTTGTATGTATACAAATTTATTCAGAAAGATCATTATATGAGTTTTATGAAAAGAATATTGCGTTCATATTATTTTTAGATTTCATGATTTTACAAAAACCAAAATGACCGTATTAAATAAATGTATCTCTTCTCTTCCCTTTCTCTACTTCCTCATTCTCTCTTTCATCTCTACTTCCTCACCCCTTTTTAAAAAACCTTTCTTCTTTTCCTTCTCATCCCTCTCTCACTTTCTCTCATCTTCATCATCTTCATCATTCCACCTCCTCCTCTGTCTCCTCCTCCTCATTCTCCACCCCTCCGCCATACAGACGATTCGGTACCAAGTGCTCTTCGTGCGAGAAGGGCATCGCCCCGACCGAGATCGTCCGCAGAGCCCTCGACAACGTCTATCATCTCCACTGTTTCTGTTGCATCATCTGCACACGACAGCTGTCGACCGGTGACGAATTCTTCCTCATGACTGACAACAAATTGGTCTGCAAGCAAGACTACGAGGCAGCCAAAGCACGAGGTACTAAAATGAAATCATTAATTTTGTATCCCATAGCATTTTAGTGTTCACTTATTTTCTAAATTATTCAGTTCTCCCTCTTCAAATGAGCAATAATTAATCTCATTTCCACTTCTTCATCATTTAAGAATTTAAACAAAATATCAAAATGAACCAATGCGAAAGGAAGTTTCAAAATTTGTACACGAAAATGGTGGTTTCATTTTTAACACCACATTGTCAATGTCAAAACTTTAATGATGAATTTGAAATAAAACGTCCTTTTTCGAGAACGACATTTTATATCGTACTACATTGGAAATAAAATCACAATTTTCTTTGAATTTTGCTCTCTCTGCTCAATGTGTAATTCATGATAAAAATAATGCAAACACGCCCTAAAAGGAAACACTGTAACAAAGATATTTGTCCCATCGGACGAGATTTTCGTCGACTATTGTTCTTTTTGGGGGTGTGACCAGGTCGTTTTCTTGATCCCTTCGTCAAGAACAAAAACAAAAACAAAATAATATTTGCTTTATTTTTTTTAGTCATCTCTCTTTAAAAAAAAAAACGTTTAACTGTATTATTCCATTCTTGTAAATCGTGTAATGATGGGTAAGAGCGAATATTTTGTAAATCATTTTCGATATTCCGTATTGCAAGCCCATCTAATATTTACGCATGTGAAATACCATAAATAGATTCAAGGGGGGGGGGAGGGAGCACTAAGCTTACCAGATGAAAATGTGACCCATGTCTGGAATAAAGGCAGGAATGTAATAGTTTTGTATGTAAAGAAAAGTATTTTCTTAACTTTATTGTCTTTTTCTGTTATGAAAAAGTAGACTGCATGGAGAATAAATATGAATTGCACATGTTAAGTGCCATTAAATTAGACGTTAGCTGGTAAGCAATATAAAGTTGAACCCTTTTTAGAAATCAAGAGAATAGGGATTATTTCTATATGTTGTAGAATATGATATCCGATTTCTTGGATATAATGTTGTTGTTTTAGTTTATGATTTAGAAACGATTGTTAAGCTTGCTTTCTCTCCTATTTAAAATATGAAGATGAATGGTGTAGCCAATCAGCTTTATATATTTTAGGCCTACTTCTTTTACTTAAAAACGATCATACGATTGAGTAACAAGAGACTTTATATAAAACAAGCAAACGCACATACAAACTTACAAACAGACAACCACTGGTGCTTTATTTCGAGTAGCAAAGCAAACTATTCTGCTGTCCATATTTGATTATAATTATCTTGTAAAATTGAGCATGGTGATTAATTGCAGGTAATGAACCATTACTCTCATCTTAGAACGAGCATTGATACCACTTTATAAAGCGTACGATGCCAGGTACCATTAAAAGGCCGCGTGCTGAAATCGAGCTTATACCATTATGTGGGGTTTCGGACGCGAAAGGGCGCATGCACGCAGGATGGCTGTACGTCAAGTAGTTGCGTAATTTTCGTGGGAAATTTCGTTTTATTTCCAAGTGATTCGTTTCCATTAGAAAAGATGTTTTGTTCTAATTTGGAGAGATAGTAATACGAATGGTTTTGCAAGGTTTCACCTCCCCAAAATACACGTGCTTACCTCCTGAATAACATTTAAGCTATACCTTATTGAAGATAAGTCCTTGTCCTTCCAACTATAGTGTGTTTCCTTCACATAGTCTGTTAATCATTTAATCCAAGACTAATTTCGTAATAAAAGAAGTCGTAGATATTCTATACTTGTAAAAGGATAATCTTTTCAAAGAATGTGAGAAAGGCTTGACTCGTTTATCCTTCCAGATATATATAGCAGCACTTTGAGACGCGTAGCAAAAGAGAAATATATATATTTATAAATTTAGATCTACGATTTATTGTTAAAAAATTGTTATTGTCATTGAAATAATTAAGGTCATTTAAAAAATATACATGTTTAGCGTCCCCGCCCGCTTCCTTTTTTGGGGCCGCCTCCTATTTTTTTTTTTTATTTTTTTTTTTTAAATTTATTTTTTTAAATTTTTTAAAAAAGTTTTAAAGAAAAAAAACATGAAAAACACTGCTAAAATGGATCTATTTCTGATTTAAAAAAAAAAAAAAAAAAATTGTCGGCGGCCATCTTGAAAAATAGCCCGACTGTCAGGGAAAATGTACCGAGCGGCCATTTTGAGCGGCTATTTTGAAAGAAAAAAAAAAAAAAAAGGGCCCTCCTCCTTCCTATTTTTCGAAAAAACACAGGACGCTAAACATGTTTTTTTTTTTATTTGGCCTAAGTCTAATATTACATGTTTTGGGATTAGTAATCATGACCGAGAATCGCGTGATATAAGGAGCAAAACATACAAATAACCGTTACCATGACAACGTGCCAAGGTTTCCCACCATCCACTTTGTTGTTGTTTTTGTCTCGCATTGCGAATCATGTTTAAACAAGCGCATCGTTGCATGTCCAGTGAAGACAATGCTCTCCATAGTAGAGTGACACGAGATGGTCATTTATTATCGTTATTTTTCTCAGGGTTTCTCGCCCGGGACAATTCCCATAAATACCACGCAACGACTACCATTCTGTCAAATAATCCGGTTTATTGCGTTACCCCTGTTAATCCATTCGTTCCAATCCACTACCCCCGTCATCACCCTACCGGAAAATAGCGACATATGTCTTGATGATTTTTTTTCTTCTTCCCCCTTCAACATAACACAATTTTCCCACGTAAAACACTCTGCTCGTTTTATCCAAATCATCTAATATTTAACGAAATCGCACAGTTTTCCCACGTAAATATCGCATAAGAGTTTCATTACCCCTAATAGAACAGGAGCTAAAATTTTTTAGTTTAATTAATTGAAATGATGACTTTTTTTGGAAGGTTCTTATTCTCGAAACTCAACCATTATCTTTTTTCTTCAAAAAACAAACGCGTCCTCAATAACAAGAATGTACATATTTTTTATAAATGTTTAACTTAACCCATAACTTTTTTTTTGCTCTGGATCATTAAACGGGCTCAATAATAATGCACACATTTTCACTGGCCACAATTGGAAAATAAAATAACAATTTGCTTTTATCTCTATTTTATCTCGTAGGGATTTGCCGAGATCCACAAGAGCATCTCAATCAAGGTATTTAAAAAAATTAAAAAATTTCACAAAGAAAACTCCCTTTATGTTTTATATACCCTTTCCTTCTGTATCAGTGAGTTCTGCTTTAAAATGTTCCCTTTCCCCATTTCGATGTGCATTTAAAAGCAAACTAGAAAAAAAAAAAGACAGAGAGCTAAAAAAAAATACGAATATTGATGCAGATCTTTACTTAACATATTTGATTTGATTTGTTTTCTGCATTTTACCAAATACAATAACTGAATAACAAAGAACATATAAACGTAAGGTACAATACAAAATATACAAACAATAATAACTTCATGTCAAAATGTTATTGACGTATACACGTATAATAACGAATTTAACATATCCATAACAAATTAAATAAAATAAAAACAATGATTAAGGCCTTTTTTGGTTAATTCCTGGCGTCGGACACAATATGGTAAAAAGGGATATAGCAATAATTATGTGCAGAAAATTTGTATTTTCTTCTCATGCATCTTGTATAAATTCAGGGCTCTAAATCTTAAGGTATAAGGCCAAACCTCAAAATGTGGATGGATGTCTCCAAAGAGTTACCAAAATCCTTAAATGAAAAAAAATAAAACAAAATGGAAGAATAATTTTGCACTAAAATCATTCGTTTTAGGTCTTGTTTTTTATAAATTTGTGATGCATTCTCTTATAATACTTTCGGCAGCTATTATAATTATACGTCTCAGTAGTATTCGTGTTCATATGTCGATGGTGTATTCTAAGAACAACGGGTGTTCCAAACTTTCACAAGGCTGGATTTCGATAACAAACCCAAAACAATGGAAAATACGCCAAAAAATGTTGCACTAATAGCCGGGGCGACAAGATCGTGGGAAATTAATGCCATGCGTTCGTCAATACCACGTACCTTATAAAGCTCGAACGTTAAATGGAACTAATGGTGATTGGAGTAATTTCCCTGGATCATTTTCTAATCACATGTCATTAATATATTGTTGCGTCAAATGAGGCGTAGATCATGAGACTGTTCTTTTTCTTTCCAGCGCGAAAAGACACGCGTAGGACTATTATGGGGTTTTCAGTTTGATGTAGTTATACGATGAATCCAGCATCAATTCATTTGTATTGCTCTGGTCTATCATAGGAAAAGGACTATGCAAGCGAGGACTTATCGTAAAGGCAAAATAAAACATAATAAACTAAATTCTTGTCTTATAATTAGGCGTAGTATAGGACTATATGGGGTTTCCAGTTTCATAAAGTTATTACACGATTAATCCAGTACCAATTCATTATATTGCTCTGGTCTATCATGGGAAAAGGACTATGCAAGCGAGGACTTATCGGAAAGGCAAAATAAAACATAATAAACTAAATTCCTTGGCTAATAATTAGGCGTAGATCATGAGACTGTAAATTCTTTTTCTCTCCAGTGCGAAAAGACACTATGTTGGGTTTTCAGTTTGATATAGTTACATGATGAATCCAGCACTAATTCATTTATATTGCTCTGGTCTATCATGGAAAGAATACCATGCAAGTGAGGACTTATCTTAAAGGCAAAATAAAACATGATAAACTAAATTCTTGTTTAATAATTGAGTACTGATATGATAAGATACACTTTAGTTATAATAACTACCCACAGTTCATTATGTTCAATTATGTTTTTTTTTTGATAAAGTGAAATAAATAAACTTGAACTTGAACTTGGACTTTTCTTCCTGTAAGACGAGCTAGCAACTTCAAAATATCCCTCTGATAAACCCTCTTATTTTTTTAATGACTGATTTGCAATACAACCCTTGCCATCAATTAATTTGATTTTTCTCATCAAGATTGAATGACTGTACCCACTTACGATTTATGTTTCTGACAGTCATTCCTACAAAAATCGCTGCATTAATCTTATCTTAATAAAAGAGCAAAACAAAGTTATTTAGTGATTTATTTAGGTTATCTGCTTACAATGGAAAACCCAAGTTATGTATTCTTCCATCAATATTTTTCTTAAAACACCTTTTTTTTTGGGGGGGGGGATATTGCAGAAGTGTGTCTTAAATGTCATCCTCTTTCAGTTTCACAGTATGATACAATTTAAGTGGAATTTTGCCATCAAAATGTCTGGCTAATTTGGGACTCCCAGCACTTTAGAGGGGCTATAAAGAACACCAAAGACACTTGTAGCTACTCCAGAAACGGATTGTTTGCTTTTAAAGAACATCAAAGACACTTGTAGCTATACTATTTTCTTGATATCAGTGTAACAGGTTGTTCATAGTGGCTCCCGGCCGACTTCGGCACCTGCCAAAGGGTTGAAACACCGCCATATTCCATTCCTCATCTAGCGATCATTAAATATTCATCGGCTGAAATGCACCCCGATAAAAAACTAATGACTATTTCTTTCAACTTCGCTTCCATGATCTCATCGCAAATGCTTTAGATCGACTCCCCTGAATCTTCTCGGAAATATGCCACGATTTTTGGTGATGATCGCTCTTGTATCTTGTCGCATTCTGCCGATGACAAAAACATGATAATTGTTTGCCATCGCCCCCTCTCTCTAGACCATTGTTGACGCTTCATACATTTCCATTTCCCCGGGCTTACTGCAAAGGTTTTGCTCACCCTGCCCACCTTTTGCCGGTAGACTGACGCCGTTGAAATCGCTTGTTCTTTGCAATGCGGAGACCTGGGGCCATTATAAAATCATGTGAATATCAAGTATTGAAAAATATGTGCGTCCGCCGCCAAGCGTGACGGCTTTATCATTTTCTCCATGCACTCTCTCGCCTGCATTACGCCGCTCAATGATTTATACATCCATTATAACTCTGCCTATCATCTTTGCCCCTTTCCATCTTTCTCCCTCCCCACCCCCCCCCTCTCCCCCCCCCCCAACCCCAAACCACCGTACTCTCCAATGTGCGTTCGTTGAATTATTCTGCACGTACAAATCGTAGACTTTTTTCATGGGCTATTGACCCGAGCAAGCATCATAGCAACAGCACCTCTATTAATATTTCTACCATCAAACCGCAGATAGTGATGGTATCACATTATCCCTCATCCCGTCCCCCCCCCCCTCCCCTTATGGTGATGGTGATGAGTGGTTGCTGATCCCTCCATAATGGCAAATGAGTCCCAGGAGACTCGTCAAGTTGTCAGTCAAATGAAGGAAAAATGCACATAACTGTTGCACATAATGCATGCCTCCTGCGTCAAAATATGATTTCACTACCGGTTGCACCATTAGCGCAACTCACTCGGACCACTTCTTTAGTGCCTGCTGCACGTGATGCGTCATTATAGCCGACGCAAGACTGCGTCAGACGCACCGCGTGAGAGTGATTGAACACAAAGGGGGAACAACATAAACAGTGCAACCACCAGGGTTAATTATTGGCGCAAGGAGGAATTACATACACAGGCCTGACTAGCATGGATGACTCAATTAAAAAAAAAAAAATCAATTCAAAGTAACATCTATTTTCTTCCTTTTCTTTGTTCATATCAGCAAAATACTCAAGTAATACATTTGTATAAACATCATGAAATAAGCTATTCAACAGAACATTTTAGGAGTTTTAACACAAATTAGACAGTGTAAATCCTAAAAACGTACGCTTGTGTCGGATACAACTTAGAACAATGCACTATACAATCATACAAGAAGGAGAGAAAAAAAAAATGGACGAAGAAAGGAAATGAAAGAAATAACGGGAAAGGAAGTTAGAGTAGAGAAGTTGGAAACGCAGTGCAATAAATTACATGGTACATTATACATGAACATAAAGCGACAAGATGTGAGGGGAACAAATAAAGTAATCTTATAATGATACTGGAAACATAATCAAGAAAAAACGAAGTCTCCTAATTCCCAGTCAGCGGGTAACGAAAATGATAGCAATGTGCTGAGTAGGGGTAGTCGATTCTTTTAAAATGAAGCATCGGTTGCAACGGGCAAAGTTCACCGTCTATAAATTATTGTCCAAACCGAGCTTCTTATCATTTCTTTTTCTTCCTGTTTTTTCTCTCCCTTACCAGAACTGGAGATGGACAACAGTAACAAACGACCCCGAACGACAATCACAGCCAAGCAACTTGAGACCCTGAAGACAGCCTACTCGAACAGTCCTAAACCTGCTAGACACGTTCGTGAGCAGCTCGCTCAAGAAACTGGACTCGACATGAGAGTTGTCCAGGTATGTTTAAGAGAAGTTCACTTCGTCATACATTGGCTACCAGTCATAGAACACATTGAGTACATTTTGCTCAATTCTTGGAAAGCAATACATGGTTTTGCACCCTCATTTATATTGAAAATCTTTTTTGTCATTATGTTCCAACTAGTAGTCACCATTCTTCTGGTAAGAACCTCCTTGTAGCCCAGAGAACAAGGTCATCTCTTGGAGACAGGGCTTCCTCAGCTGTTGCACCATGTTTATGGAATCAATTACCAGCTCTTATAATACGTTCCCTAGAAACTTGTGATCCTTTTTAGTCTAACCTGAAGACAGTGCTTTTTTCGAAAAAGTACAGTATAATTTCTTTTAACAAAAATCGGTCATCGATCATGTTATCAATGAATGAGTGAATTAATGCAATCAAACAAACAATCAACCAACCAATGACAACTTTCCTCTTTGCATTCAGGTCTGGTTCCAGAACCGAAGGGCCAAGGAAAAGCGGCTGAAGAAGGACGCAAACCGTCAGCGCTGGGGACACTACTTCCGGAACATCAAACGGGTCAACGAGGCGAGCAGTCCGGCCAGTGGTCCAGAACCTCTTGCGTCACCGGTCAAGCTGGAACCCTCAGACCTGGACGACACGACCGTCTTTGACGGGGAGATGGCTTTTGATGATGGTGAGTGAGGTAGAAGAGTTGAGATTATAGATGCTAAAAGAATTCAAACTATTCATTTGGTCATCCTAAAAAAGCTTGGCATACAGTCATCCGACTAAAATCAGAATGATAAAAACAAATCGCAGCCATTCAGCAGGGAGATGTTATCTCCCTGTATTCAGCATCCTAGACAAAAACTACTGTATAGGGGGAAGGAAGTGAAAGTTTTATATGTACATGACTCGTAACAACATAATTTTTTATTCTGATTAAAATGGAAATATCAACAAGAATGTAGGCCCTATAATTTTGTTGATAATCAACCCCGAATAATTTTGCTGTTAATTTTATCGAATGTTGCAACTATCTAACGAATATGAGAGGAGAATTTTGTTGTTTTTTGTCTGGTGAAATGTAAATGATCGGTGAAGCAGGTGTTGATAATTGTTTTCTTTTCTTTAATTGTTCAGATCACTCACCAGGTATGCCTGATCATGGAATCACATTTCAGAACGACAGACATCATCATGGCCCTCCCGGTATACCCTTGTCGAGCCCGTACATGAACCACTGCGATTCGTTCCTCTCGCCCCCACCGACAGCCCCGTCAGTAAACAGCGGTTACCCCGTCAACAACCCCTCCCCGACCCTCCCCGTTCAACTCTCCCCGAACCACCACACCAACGGTCTCGGCATGTCTGGGATCCCTTTCTCGGAGGCCGCGGGCATGCCGGGGATCATGAGCGCCGCCAGCCACGGCTTGGGCGAGGCCATGCGGGCCGTCGTCAACCCGGGAGGTGATATGGGCGTGGTCACGCCACCACCCCCAGGCAGTTTCCACGAAGAGTTCTCCCATCCGCATCCCGGCCCCTGGTTAGAGCACCACTCCCTCCCCCATCCACACCCACACCCTCACCCGCTCCCACATCAGTATTAAAGACCGGCTTCTCCGCAGAGAACGACTGGACACTACAAGACTAGTGTAAATTAACTTTGACCTCGTGATCGCCGAATGAATATGCATGATATGCAAAGTGGCCAGACTCTTTTTTGAAGGAAAGCGAGATGTTGTGAAAGATTTTACCAGTAGCTGCATGGACTTTACGAGAATAGCGGCTGAGAAAAATTGGTGAATTCCGATTTATAATGATTGTGATTTGATGAGTTAATGTTATCAAACATTGTATCATACTGCGTGCAATTTGAATTTGAATTAATCAAACAAATATAATTTTAATCATTTCTGTGAAGGACAATATTTGCAATGTCATAAACTTCAGTTCGCAATGTGTTTGTACAAGACGTGTATATGGGTATGTTTCATTTCATTTATTCCACTGGTTGCAATTAATTTTGAGGACAAAATGTTGATAACTACTATGACTTCAACACGTGTAATCCCAATTTGTTTAACCAAAATACTTGCCGTGCTATGCAATTCATTCAAAATATGTATATTCAACTCTTTCAAAAAAATGTTTTCGTTTATATCCAAGTGCAATCCTTTCCTCCAGAAGCATTATATAGTCGTGGGTTCATGCAATCAAAACGTGCTACAAATTTGACCAACTATACGGGCATCTTATTTCGATTCCAAGCTGAAAAGTTATTTTGAAAAATGACTGAAGAATTGTAATTCATTCACTGTCTACATGGAAATAGTTTATTTTAGCTAATGATATACTGATTGTCTAAGATTTCAAGACCACAATCGTTTTTTAATTAATTTAGAATGGTATATAAGTGACATATTCAAGAGATATAAAACAATACATTACGTAACATAAAAACGTAATTTGTGACTTAACTGAAGTAGAACTTCTTGAAGAATTTTTTTTTTTTTTTTTTTTTTAAATACAAAACATCATTACATTTGCAAGACTGATGTCGTCAAGACCAAAATCGTTTTTTTATTTTTTATAAAACGGAATGGTATATAACCGACATATTCAAGAGATGTTACGTAACGTATCACGAGTTATTATGTAACAATACATTACGTAACATAACGACGTCATTCGTGACTCAACTGAAGTAGAACTTCTTGAAGAAATATAATTCTTTTGTTTAATCTAAAGAGTTACGTTTAAACCTATTGTTTTAGTTATCTACATGTTTTATTTATTCATCTATCTAATTATTCTTAAATTTATTTATTTATTTATTTATTATGTGCAAAGGCCCATTATTTCAATCATTAATGATGATTATCTGAAAATATAATTACGAGGTATTGATTTTGCTTCAAGAAGGCTACTTGTTATGGACCATTTCCATTTTTTAGTGCGATTTACCATTGGGCATCTAGTTATAATTGCATTGGAACGTATACCTTTAAAAGCTAGCATTACAATTTAACTAAATATGGGAGCTATATTGTCACATTATCTGATAGTACAATATACTCGCAATTGTGCAATGATTTGTACTGGCTTCGGCTGAAATCGACATAAAAATGTATGACTTCGTGCATTCGTTCATTAATGACAGTACTTTATGAAGAAGAAAAAAACATTCCGTTTCTTGCAATATTTATGAATCCATTCCATATAACATGTACAAGAACCTTTATCTGGAGATGCAAGTACTTTTGTTTAGCAACATTTTATTTCGATTCAATCGAATTTCTGGTAGCATTCCAACCTAGCAAAAATCAGGGACCCGCTTCACAAAGCCTTTTTCCGACGACAAATAACAAAAATCAGTGATAAATCTGCTGATAATCAATCAGATCACTGATCACAAGAAGTTTTAGAACAAAAACTGTCATTTGTCACTGATGACAAGTTTTGTGAAATGGGGCCCAGGATTTTTAAAAACATTTCAGGACAGCATGTGCAATATTCATCGAGTGATCACTAACCAATGTATTTATTTGACCATTTTTTTTAACAGTATGAATTTGTGTGGCATCGATGCAGATAAACTTTTCAAGTCACAATTTTTGAAGTTTATAGCGAATGCGTAGTTGAATTACGATTCACTTTCCAATGAACAAAAAAGTGTGTCGTCAAAAATCGGTTATAATAGCTTGCAGTTTTCAAGCTTCTAGTAAACGTCTATGATATAATAACGTCCGATTTCCGAAAACTGAAAATGATGGCTTGAAATGCGACTTAAGGTCAAACCTATACTTATTCAGGTAGCATTCCATGAAAGAGTATTATTACTAGAATCCGCGCATATTGGGCAACGGCTTAACAACTTCTGGTTATGCTGGCATTGATTTTATTTTGCGTGTGCAATTATCATGATTATATTTGCATAAAGTCATGCAGTGGCATACATTATGTACACAGAGACATGTACAATTATTGCACCTTCATTCATTTCAAGATTATTTATACGTCTGAAGGTGAAGGGATAAATGACTTCCCTAACCTGCATCTAAACAAAATGGGTACGAAAAAGCACGTTTCCTCCCTTTTTCTGGATTGCACTCTCCGAATGCAGAAAAGTGGAAATCCATTCGTTTTGGAAGTCATGCATAATTAGGATCACTTTGTTCAGAGTTGAATCCACTCCCAACTAGAGTGGAATGCACTCCAAAGTAGTGGTTGAATTATCCTTTCGAGAGTGGATTTTTCACTCTAAAACGAATTTTATCCCCCTAAAGAGTGGAATTTTCATTATTTATACATTTAAAGAGGATTGAAGTTTATACGTTTTCAACAACTTTTTGTGTGCACTCTCTTGCCCACGTTTGCATTATATAGCTTGTGATATGACCTTTCAACTCGCAATCGTGTATTCTCAAGTTATGTTGCTCTTTTGTTTGTTCATGTTTTGCAATATGTATTGACGGAAGTATACTTGATTGTGTATTATTTATTGATCGATTCAAATAAAAATGTAAACAAAGGATATATTTGCCGTGTGGTGTTTTGGTCGACTGTTGTTCCTGAATTGAATCTGAACTTGGCCGAGTCAATCTGCTCTTAAATCACAGTCAAGATCTCTTTATTTATGTTTTGCACCCTTAACTGCCCCTCTTTCAAATACGCAAGTTATTGAATAGCTGAAGTATTAAAATTGGGTGCTGTTTAGACTGATTTTAGGATAAAGACATTACGACGGAAAATGTTATTGATAGTGATGATAGAATAATGATGATGGTGATGGTGATTACGGGGATGATGATGGTAATGACGACGGTGATTACGATAATGATGATGATGGTGATGGTAATGATGAGGGCGATGATCGTGATTACGGTGATGATGATGATGACGACGGTGATTACGATGATGATGATGATGATGATGATGGTGATGGTAATGATGAGGGAAGTTGTAAAATAGAAATGTTTTGTTCTTTCTTTGGCAAGATATTGATCTATATTTACCACACTCGATCGCATAGAGACGTTATGTTATGAAGTGACATGCATTATACAAGAACGGCATATATATATATATATATATATATATATATATATATATATATATATATATATATATATATATACATGTATATACAGTCAAGAGTAGTCGCCATCTGAGAAACAAAATAGCTCCTTAAAAAAAAAGGTGATTTTTTTTTTTCAACCTAGAAATCATAACCGAAATTGATATCTTCGTTTGCATCCTTTCATATTCAAGATATAGTGCCAATAAATTTTCAGTCCATTTACTTGTGTTGAGTTGGTTCATTTTGTCTTTATTTGTATTCAATTTGTCTGATCAAGACTGAAGCCTAATATATTTTTCCACTACATCTTTTGACACTACGCAATATCAAAGAGGGGCGATTTCGTCTCGTCTACCAAACGACAACGCAGACATTCTATTCAAACACCCGCAAGAGGTCGCTATTCCAAACTGTGCGCGGTGTCGCATTGCGCTGGTTGACTTGCCAGGGCCCCAGAACAGAAAGCTTAGCAATTGATTTTGTGATCGATTGCATTGATCTCTATGTGCAATCAATCGCAAAAAATATATCATGCTATCAGTAATATTGCTAGGCTTGTGTTACGGGGAACATATTGTCAAAGCGAGGAAATACATGAACTAAATTACTAGTGGGAACTCAAATGACACGCTTTTATGTCAAATATCCCACGGGATTTTCCACGAAAATTATCAGTAGTTTTCATTTTAGCCCCCAATTTGAAATCTAAAGTAAACACAACAAACCATTTACAGTTTGCCTTTAATATTGGTTCACAATCTAAGCAAAAACAAAAGAAATTTGACTAAAATGAGACGATTGTTTTGATATCTTTTATTGGTTCGAAACATTAAGATCATGATTTGATAATTTAGATAAGTTAGACCAGCAATTGGGTGCAAATGATTTAGAACGGGAAAACTATAGAATTGCTATATTCTCTTACAAGAACCACAAAATAAATGTGTGTTTACCATCGTGATTAGGGATAAGATAACGAAAGAAGAAGGACAATAATATAACTGGCTCAATTGACTCACTAGTAGCAGTAAGTATTTGTACCTCTGTAGTGAGTCGCTATAGCGAAAAAAAACAGTCCTACTACTCCTCAATGAAGAGTCACATTATAAAGAGGTTTGTGTTTCTTTCATTTTTTCCCCTCTAAAATATGATCACATAATCATGATAATCTTATATTTCTTGCAGATAGAATTCGGTAGACTATCAATACGCGTTTCCACACAACATCGCTTCTTCAACCTCAAAAAATAGGGATTCCTTCGTAGTATCTCCACCTTTGCTAAAATTGTATCATTTTTTATAACATCGGAAATGTAAGCATATTATTGATTGTTAGTGAAAATGGATCATCTAGTATAAACAGATTTATTTTTCCTTTTTTGGCATGGATTAATGAATTTGAGTAAGTTTTAGTTTTTCTTCTTCTTTCGTTTTGATTTCTTTGCGTTCATAAGATTCTGGCCTTGTCGTTTGATGTCCGCATTCGTCAGCATGTCCTCATTATCTTGGCTATCGTACCCATACTCGTCTGAAATGAAAGAAGAAAAATGAAAGAAGAAGAATGATGAATGAAGATGATCAAAAACTAATGATAGATACAACCGTGAACTTCTTCTTCTCCTTCCTCTTCTTTTTCTTCCAATTTCTTCTCCTTCTTTTTCTTCTTCTTTTTCTTCTTCTTCTTCTTCTTCTTCTCCTCCTCCCCCTCCTTCTCCTCCTCCTCCTTCTCCTCCTCCTCCTCTTCTTCTTCTTCTTCTTCTTCTTTTCCTCCTCTTCTTCTTCTTCTTCTTCTACTTCTTCTTCTCCTCCTCCTCCTCTCCTCCTCCTTCTTCTCCTCCTCCTCCCCCTCTTCTTCTCCTCCTCCTCCTCCTCCTCTTTCTTCTTCTTCTTCTTCTTCTTCTTCTTCTTCTTCTTCTTCTTCTTCTTCTTCTTCTTCTTCAAATGCACAACATAAACAACAAAATCCGCCACAGCGTCAACACCAACAACAAAAAAGCAGCCAAACCCTTTCCTTTTTGGTTTTCGCAGTTTTCTTAATAATAATATATTTACCGGAGTCATAGGCGTCCGGTTCGTCCATCCGGATCCTGAGATTCTCGGGCGCCAAATGATTCTCCATAAATTCCTGAAACTGTCGTGTGGAGAAAAAACGCCAAAGAAATTTTTTACAACAGTTGGTTTCTGGTCATGGGATTGCGTTGTGAAAGAAACTGTGTGCCAGCGGTTGGAAAATGTTGTTGCAGTATTTCATAAGTAGCATTAGTCGTAACAAATCACATGTAAAAATAACATCCTTATACAAAAAGAACATCAAAATCATTTTTTTTCTCGCTAGCCGATTTCTGATCAACCAAATTAAGAACTAATTTAATTGCTTTCACGACCATTTCAAATGTAAAATAATGCCTTGCTTCAGCACATTTACGTATTTTTTTAATCAACCATTTGACGACGGCCTATCTTATCGGCAAAAGATGGCGGTATCTAAAGAAGCAGTGCCACGATTGATAATTAGGAGATGATGGCCAATTCGGTTCGAGTTGGGCACAAAAAAACGAAAGAATCAGAAGCCTGCAAACTCGTTCATATTATAAAGCGGTAAAATGGCGGCATTTTATCATGATGATGTAAAGTGTAATTCATATTGCTGAATCTTAAAACACAGAACAAAGTGAATACGCTTTGGACTTTTATCTTGCGCACAGGTTGTCATTCAGTTAAACGTTTAACAACAGAAAACGGCTGCCTTTGCAGCGCCTTACCGCGGCATATCTGAATGAGCCTTAACTAAGACAGTCTGCAACTTGGAATAATCTTTTATCATATTTTACCTCTGGACTGCTCTTGACTTTCCAGAAACTTGCCGTATCTTTGACGTTGGCTTGCCGCATCATGGAAAGAAGTTTGACCTCACAGATGTTCAGCTGCTCCACGGGATCCTCGGTCGACAAGGCCAAATTACGCATAGACTGACAGAAGAAGAAGGGAGAGGAAGAAGAAGAAGAAGAAGGAGGAGGAAGAGGAGGATGAGGAAGAAGAAGAGGAGGAGGAGGAAGAGGAGGAGAAGGAGGAGAAGAAGAAGAAGGAGGAAGAGGAGAAGGAGAAGAAGGAGGAGGAGAAGAAGAAGAAGAAGAAGGAAGAAGAGGAGAAGGAGAAAGAGAACGAGAACGAGAAGGAGAACGAGAAGGAGAAGGAGGAGGAGAAGAAGAAGAAGAAGAAGAAGAAGGAGAAGGAACATACTTATTATAAATTATCCATTATTACCTTATTATGACTTAGCGCTCTCAACATGTTCATGATTTTCTCTATGACCTTCATAATCATCAGCATCACCATGAACATCACCATCACTACAAAAAAACCTTCTTACCCCTCTGACTTTGATGTCTTTGAGAGTATCCACAAAATGTTTGATACCAGATTTGAGGTTGGAAAGAAGATTGCAAGCGTTCACAATATACTCAATGACCACCATAATCACCAGCATCACCATGAACATCATCATTACCATAAAACTTCTTACCCCTCTGACTTTGATGTCTTTGAGAGTATCCACAAGATTTTTGATACCGCTCTTGAGGTTGGAGAGTAGCTTGTAAGCGCTCTCTATATATTCAATGACCACCAGAACCACCAGCATCACCATGAACATCATCATTACCATAAACTTTCGTACCCCTCTGACTGAGGTGTCTTTGAGAGTATCTACAAGATGTTTGATACCGCTCTTCAAGTTAGAGAAAAGCTTGAGCGCTCTCAATGACCACCATAATCATCATCATCATCACCATGATTTATTTTATTTTATTTTATTTATTTATTTATGCATGTTCACAATTTCACAATTCATTGAAGTCAACATCACATGAAAAATTAATATAAGATGACAAATCATTTTCAATTTTACAATACATTTGAATTAACTTTACATGAAAAAGAATATAACATTGTTTTATCAAAGACAAGTTGCAATTTATCATCATCAATACCATAAACCTTCTTACCACTCTGACTTTGATGTCTATGAGAGTATCCACAAAATGTTTGATACCAGATTTGAGGTTGGAAAGAAGATTGCAAGCGTTCACAATATACTCAATGACCACCATAATCACCAGCATCACCATGAACATCATCATTACCATAAAACTTCTTACCCCTCTGACTTTGATGTCTTTGAGAGTATCCACAAGATTTTTGATACCGCTCTTGAGGTTGGAGAGTAGCTTGTAAGCGCTCTCTGTATATTCAATGACCACCAGAACCACCAGCATCACCATGAACATTATCATTACCATAAACCTTCGTACCCCTCTGACTTTTATGTCTTTGAGAGTATCCACAACAAAATGAGACATTTAATACCGGATTTGAAGTTGGAGAGTGGCTTATAAGCGCTCTCTATATCCTCAATGACCATGCACCATAATCCTCAGCATCATCATTAAATTATCATTACCATAAACCTTCGTACCCCTCTGGCGATCGAAGTGACAGGTGCTTCTGAGAATGGACGAGCAAGTGCATCAACATCTGAAGATTTCGGTCCAGAAGTTGAATCAAATCAGGCAAATGATGTCAACCATCAAAGCCAACCTCCTGCAGACGCTCTTAGGAAATACTCGGAATTCAAACTGACCGTAGATCCTCCAATTTCCCCGCCTCTATTGCCGCAGCCTCCACTGCCTTCAGATAAAGAACCAACCTACCGATTCACACATTCTACTTTACCTAGCCATTTAGGGAGCACATCATCACCACCTCCAGAATTAACACCAGTGGCGCAAACTTTCTCCAGTGAGCAAAGAAAGTCACCTGAACCCATCCTTTTCACAAAGGAGTCAAGCATAGTTCAAGTATCCACGTTGCCAGTAAGCTGCGATGACGTCACTATTCCAGCTTCAAAGGTTTCCTCGCATGTCTTGATGGAAGGCTCGGTGCAACCCTCACGCAGCGTCTACCGTTCTGGGACATCTTTGGCTAATCATTTGTCAAGTCGTATGCGTGGTACCACAGAGAGCATGCCTGATTCAGTCAACAAAATATTGCAGCAGCACAAAAGACAGGTTGAATTTCTTCGTCAGAATTTCCATGTACGACTGACAAATGCTTTTTCTTTTTCCATGTTTGAGTTGCCCAAGCAGTACGAAGAGCACAATTCCAAAATGATGCAAAAGGCAAAGCAGATACATAAAATGAAGAAGCCAACTAGTTTGGGCAAACCACCCCAGATCACGCTGAGACCACCTCACCCTCTGAAGAAGATTCCGCCACCCCTACAAACTATACCATATCGTATCAAGGCTAAAATGTCAAAGGCATGAATAAAATGGGCTGATGATGAATAGTACGGGATCTGGGGTTATTTGGGCGCAGAGAAAGAGTAGGAAAAGTAAAGGGGAAACATATATCTAACCTAGGATTCCGGCACACGAACGAGTTCACATGGCAGAATTGTGCATCATAATTTTGTTTTTAATCAGTATGGCCATGCATTTTTTCCCGAATACAGGATTTGAAGTCGGAGAGTGGCTTATAAGCGCTCTCTATATCCTCAATGACCATGCACCATAATCCTCAGCATCATCATTAAATTATCATTACCATAAACCTTCTTACCCCTCTGACTTTGATGTCTTTGAGAGTATCCACAAGATGTTTGATACCGGATTTGAGGTTGGAGAGTAGCTTATAAGCGCTCTTAATCTACATAATGACCACCATAATCATCAGCATCACCATGAACATCCCCATTATCACCATTAACCTCCTTACCCCTCTGACTTTGATGTCTTTGAGAGTATCCACAAAATGTTTAATACTGCTCTTGAAGTTAGAGAAAAGCTTGAGCGCTCTCAATGGCCACCTAATCATCAGCATCACTATGAACATCATCATCATTACCATAAACCCTTCTTACCCCTCTGACTGTGATGTCTTTGAGAGTATCCACAAGATGTTTGATACCAGATTTGAGGTTGGAGAGTAGTTTGTAAGCGTTCTCAAGATTCCTCTTCGCAGTGTCTCTTCTAGTTGTCTCTCCGTCAAGATGGTCCTGCATCTGTTCCAATAACTGCTCTCCTCTGGACAAAAAAACCCCATAGAATTAATTGTCTTCAAATTACCAAGTTTCCTCAAATGACAAACCCCTCTTTCTATAACGGATTAAATCCTGTAAGTTTTTACCAATAAACCCTTTTTAAGGAGCTAAAGAATTTACCAGTTAAAATGGGAGTAATAATGAACTAAAATTGGAAACGAAGTCGATGCGCTACTGCCCTGTGGTAAGGCATTAATCATAATTTACCAAGTTCTTCGGAGAGGACTTTACGCCGTCGGTCCCCTGATTCCTTACTGCGTACATGGTTTCTTAGTAGTCAGGTTTTTTAAAAAAAGAAGAGAAGTGTAATTGTCTTACCGTGACATCTTGCTCTCGCCGCTGTATTTGAGGGCCTCGTACTGCTCCAAGAGTTGTCTGTTCTGCTTCTCCAGAGACTTGCGCTGCTTCTCGCCGCTTAGCTTCTGCAGCTCCAGATGCTCGAAGGTAAGCTTCTGACTCAGAAAACGGTCCTCAATCTCCTGAAAATTAGAATCGGAGCGACTCCACGGTTTTTTTTAACGTATAAAATGAATGGCAACTGCGCCGTGACGCAACAAAGGACTTGCTCGTATTCAATGAGCTCTGTTAAGATTCAGAAATATGTATATCACTTTATATTTAAAAAAATGCCACGGTTAAAACGCGTCATACCTAAACGAGCATTTAGAGCCCTACATAAAATAGGCTTACGAGCTCTGTTTCGAGTTTTTAATTTGATTTACTTGTACATTTTTGTTTGTTTATTTGTCGTCTCGAATGGAGAATATTCATTGCCTATACGAACTTGGGATCCGATGTGCAAAACGACCCTTTCTGACTGAAGTCTGAGCCGGCCGACAAGATACGACTGCGATTTTAGTCAAGGTGGTGCTCGCATTGTGGGTCTTGTTTTATGAAACTTGTTATAAACATAATAGATAACGAATTACAAGAAACGTCATTACCTACTGAAAGAATTGCATTTGATTAGCTGAGAACTAATTTGTCATATAAATTAGGCATTTGTTGTTGATTAGAGTTTTAATGAAACAGGGCTCTGGTCACCGTTTTACTTTTGGCAGGAAACTGACTTACATTGATGTCGGAGACACCGGTAGCATCTTTGATTCTCTGGAAAGCTTCTTCGTATGTGGTGACTTTCACCCAGTTGTCTTCGTCCATTTGCGACTGCCGCTTGGTGTCTGAGAAAGGAAGGAAAGACAAAGTTAGCGGAATGAGTCCTACAGGGAAATAACCTAAACCTGAATAGATATGGAGAAATAAAATGGGGAAGGGGAGGGAAAGGGGATAAATGGAAGGAGCGAGCTAGGTGAAAGAAGAAAGAGGGAGGGGGTGGAGGAGAGAGAGAGAGAGAGAGAGAGGGGGGGGGGGGGGCGGTGAAGGGCGGGCAGAGTCAGAGGGAGAGGGAAAGGGAGACAAACACAATGGGACATGCAAAAGAAGAGCAACAGAGTTACAAAAGAATCTAAGCCATTGGAGAAAAAAATACAGAACTATATGAGAGCAGGCTAAACGGTAAATACAGAAAGACATAGAGAGCATGAAAAGTGAGAGCGATATTGATGTTTGTTCGTTTGCTTTTATTTCAGAAAAAAAAATTGACAAATCATGTCAAAATTGAAAAATACAAGAGACCGCCATATCAATTGCTAAAGCTTGAACGTGATAGGCGACCAATCCTATAACATTATATAATCAGAAATAGAATTAATTATAACAGCCGCATAATGGAGGGGAAACAAAATCAGGCATTACCAGAAATTCATTAAGTGTAAATGCGTATTTTATGTAAATGTATGGTTTTTGTGCGGTGAGGGATTTTTTTTTTCTTCGGACATCTCCCAATGAGGAGAGTCCTTAATTAGAAAATTTGTATTTAGGGGCAATCCCAAGGCATTGGTGGTTGTTGTTGTTGTTCTTTTCTAACGTTATTACCATCATTTTTGTGAGCTGTAATTACCTATGTATGTTATCTTTTAATGTTGTGTCCATGAAGATAACATTTTAAAGAGGCAAAGAAAAAAAGAAAGACCTTGAGTTGCGTCGTCCGTCTGCAGTGTCGCACGCGCGCGCTTCTCTGTCTTCTCTGCCATCTCTTTCTGTCTCTCCGCTTGTTTCTTCATCCGGTTCAAAGTTCGATCACGCGATCGTTTTGCTTCCATCATCTTCTGCTCCAGCTGTGTAAATTCGGCCTGAAAAGAAAAAAAAAGGAAACAACAATTATAGTCGTAAATGGATTTATAGTCGTATATAGCCTATAACAAATGAAGTACTTTTTCGTCTAAACATGCTTTTATTTTGCTTTGGAACGAGATGGTTCAATATTATTATTATTAGTCCTTAAAGCCCGTCTGCACTCGTTCGGCTAGGGGGGGGGGGGGATAAGCTCAAGGGGACAAGGTCTTTTCTCCCTGCAAGGTCCCTGACAGGTGGTTATCTCATCAAATCAGCTTTCAATTAACATAAGAAAAAAGGAGCATGGGGGGACCAACAGGCACCGATTAGGCATTGTTTGCTATATAGAGGGCGCAAGTATATATAAGTAGTGCAGTGGGGCTTTAAAGCAGGTGTTAAAGACTGTGATATCAGATGATGATGGTGAGAGTGGTGTTAGGTGGGCCTTGTCACTGAGGGCTCAGTCGGCTCACCGATGGTCAAGAGCGCATTTTCATCTACCCACACTAATTGAGAATATTGCTTTGTCGGGCAAGCCAAAAGCAAAAGAGTATAAGCCATGTTGAGCGAGACCAAATTTGGCCAAACTCTTATTTTTTCTGCACAATAATATTACTTGGAATTTCATACGACAAACGGTAATTTGCTGACTCATCCAACCTGACAATAGACTATGTAGACAAACATACAGGCCTAAAAAAAGATGGGATAAATAATTTTGGCCTTGCGTTACTCACGGGGCGTCATTTTATTGACGGAGTACAGCGTCAGCGATGACGTAGTACTGCGTCAGACAACCGTGCGCTCAGAAACAACCGTATTAAGCGCCTTATACATGTTGTATATTATTATTTTTATTTATTAGCACAGTAATAACGAAATTGAAATGACGCTTCGTGTTCAATGAGCGATTAGAAAGATGATTCACACCTTTGTATTAAACGCCGGTGTCAAATGAAAATCGTACCTTTGCTAAGTCTTTCTTAATATGAGCATCTTTGTTGATTTCTTTCAGTTCAGCCAGTTCTTTTCGCTGCTCCTCCAGCGTTCTCTCCAAGCACCGCAGTTTCTTTGGAAGAGCAAGGCGTTCCTAGAGGGTGAGCGAAAAAAGAAGAAGAAGATAATGTAAATATAAAACTTTTACAAATGTTGATTCTATATACAAATATGTACATCAGCATTTTTCAACATTTATTTAGTCACGGCTTCCTTTTCCCTGCTTTTAAGAAGTAAAAAGTTTCGCGTCACCCCAATCCTAAAATCATCTCATAAGATTCGTTTTGCATAATCCTGGCTCTTGTTAAGTGCCATTAAGACACGTAAGGCAAATTAGTTTGTAAATTCTGGTGAGAGGGCAAAGCTAGCGAACAAACAAACAAATGATATCTTTGATATATTTCGCATTGGGATCGAATAGCGAGTCGTGTGCTATAAATTCGTCACTTTAAAGATGAATAATTTAATCAACGAACTTCTACCCCCCAAATAACGAAACAAAATAAACATACCTCCTCTAGACATTGTAGAATTTCGATGTAATTTCGCTGTATCTTTATGGCCATGTCATACTTGATCTTGGCTTTATCAAGGTTGTTCTCAATCATGCGGATTGTCTGAATTAAGGGAAATAAAATTGGGAAAAAATAATATGGAATATGAACACGTTTTCATCTGTAAGACTTTGCCTACTCCATTGTTATCTTGATCACTAAAGGTTCTCGTCGTTGTGGTTCTTCTTCTTTTCTCTTTGTCTTCATCATCTTTTTATTTCTTCTTGTTTTTCTTTTACACCATTCGGATATTTTCTCCTCCCGCTCCTCCTCCTCCTTCTCCTTCTTCTTCTCATTCTTCTTTTTCTTCTTCTTTTTCTTCTTCTTCTTTTTCTTCTTTTTCTTCTTCTTCTTCTTCTTCTTCTTCTTCTTCTTCTTCTTCTTCTTCTTCTCTTCCTCTTCTTCTTCTTCTTCTTCTTCTTCTTCTTCTTCTTCTTCTTCTTCCTCTTCTTTTTCTTCCAATTTCTTCTCCTTCTTCCAACCTCTTCTTCTTCTTTTCCTTCCTCTTCTTTTTCTTCCAATTTCTTCTCCTTCTTCCAACTTTCTTCTTCTCCTTCTTCTTCTTCTTCTTCTTCTTCTTCTCCTCCTCCTCCTCCTCCCCCTCTTCTTCTTCTTCTTCTTCTTCTTCTTCTTCTTCTTCTTCTTCTTCTTCTTCTTCTTCTTCTTCTTCTCCTCCTCCTCCTCCTCCTTATATTTTTAAAAGATACTAATGGTTATTTTCGTTTAGCAAGAAATTAGTCTTTGTCCACCCTCTACTCAGGGCAGAGAAGGGATACTTGAGAGGACCGCAAAACGCAGTCGAGTTTGCCAATTTGCCAACTCCGTTCACACACGTAACTATGAACGGTGCACTTGTGTTTGGCGAATGGAGATGTTGGAAACATTGCCAGCTGTCTGGAAAATTAGGGATCGAGTTAATAATTGATGAATAGAATCATGTTAATAATAAAAATAACAACAAAAACTACAGCAACAACCAAAATGAAGGCGATCAGTATCTTATCGAGAGTATTAGGTTCACACACAAACAAAAAAGTGAGATTCTAATGGCGATTCAAAAATGGATGTTTTAATCTCACTAATTTCTCTGTGTATGAACCCCATTATTATTACCCGGCTGTATGCAGCTGAGCCCCCACGATAAGGCGCTATTTAAGGCATTCAAGACATTTTTGTCCCCACTGGGTACCCATTTACTTCACCTGGGTCGGGAGTGGCAAGTGTGGATTAATGAATGAAATAAAGGTTACAAATGTCTTCATCCACCTTCATCAGGCTCTCACCTGTTGGTCATGTTTAGCTAGTTTTCCATGATTTTTCATGACGGATTTTTCCGTCGCCATGTTGGCGTCCATGTCGGAAATACGTTGCATCTTCTGCAGTCGGTCATAGCGCAGGAAGTTCAGTTGCTTCGCTTTCTCGCACACCTTAAGATCCAGTTCATGAATGGCACTCTGTGGGGTAAGTTCAAATTCAAGTGTTAACTATCTTTCCTTCAACAATATTCTCACAAGTAGAAAACGCAAACTATTCATTGAAAAAAAGAAAGAGGAGATATTGTGGAAAAGCTTGGCTTGAAAATAAAAAAAAGGTCTCTCAAAAACAACAAAAACTATCTTTAATGGTTGAATATGTTTTAACGAAAGTTCGAGTATAATCCAACAACCCGACCCGACGCGAAGACCAGATGGTTAGAAGCAATCCGTCTAATTTGTCTGACAAAGTACATCGTAAACGGCTGCTGTGATGTGTTTTTCGACGTGCAAAATAGGTCATTTTACTTGATTTTGTTTTTAAGAGAAAAACAAACGGGATTCATGGACCGACCTCGGCAGTTTTGCGTTGTAGTGCTAACTGTTCCTCTTTACGACTTGATAGAGCTTGTGTGATCAACCTTGCATCTCCCTAGCAAAAATCAAAGAAAACATGAATATATATTTTATTTATTTATTGCAACCAAAATTTTGGATTTCAAATACAAATAAAACACATATTCATAAATAACAACGGTAGAAATAATTGACACAACGAATTTATATAGAGTAAACAAATTGTGTGGTACTTGAGTGGAATAATAATTATGTGGTTGCTACGTTCAAATCATTACACGGTATCAAATTAAATTTTATGTCAGTTTATGGGTACAATATTGCATATAGAACATAAAAACTGCATGTATGTAATGTATAGGTATAACTAAAGTAAATTATGAAGAACTTATTATTAAAAGGGAAATGATAATGGGTCAAATATGAAAAGTTACTGGTCAAAAATAGTACATGGATTCATAGTAAAAGGTTTAAATTGATTTGGAGATTGTTTCACCGTCGGTTGAGAGCCAGAGGGTCATTATCTCATGTACTTTTTACAGAACTAGTACACTCCCCTGGCTCTAAACAGACGATACGCAATTTTAAGTGATTTTCAGGCATTATGTTATAAAAAAAGACTAGGGGCTTCTATTTCACTGGGCATTTTATAATTGAATAAAGAGGAGCATATATACATCTTCAGGCTAATGGGGGGGGGGGGGCAGGGGGTGAGTACTGTGTACCATAATACAAGGGAAACTATATAATTATGTCTCCTATCCTAATCTAACTCCCGGGTACGCCTGGATAGACCACTCAAATATTGAAATATTACCTGGAGTGTTTTTTGCGTAAGGGTCACCCTTGTTTCTTTGTTGTCTCGCCTGAGTATGGCAATCTCTTGCTCATGTTGTCGTTTCTTGAACTGAGAACTTTCATAGTAGGCCCTGTGGTCGCGCTCTGAACACCAGAATGAAAAATAAAAAACCCGAATAATAATGAGAATAAGAATGAGAAGAATAATAATAATAATAATAATAATAATAACAATGAATAATAATAATAATAATAATAACAATAACAATGATAATGATAATTATAATAATAATAGTAGTAATAATAATAATAGTACCTCGTGAGTGGCAAATGTGGAATAACACTTAAGCCAAAGTCAGTAGTTTCGGGCTGGGATTTGAATTATTAACCTTTGGATTGAGAGTCAACTGAATGAACCAATATACCACGACACTAGTCCTACTCATCATCTCATCACTGAGCGTAGTTATACTGTACGTCCCAGAAAAAACGAAACCGAGAATTATCGATGTTTTATTATAACTTAGTCACATTTATAATTAATACATGACACATATTTCGAAAGCTTAGATCATCCTCTTTCATTTGATGCAACTCATTATGATGCATATTCCACGCATAAATGATTAAAATGAATTTGAAGAGAGGAAACCAAAAGGTTATTTGGCGGACGGTATCTGAATTTCACAGAGAAAATCAAATTTCAAGAAAGTTGAGTTTCTGCCCTTCATAATGATATCTCAATCAGGAAAAATGAGCAAGGAATGACAAAGTTCTGTTTTTTTAAAGTAGTGCTTGCATATCCATAATTTTATCAAACAAATTCGTTTTCACTGGCTGCCATTCAATTGGATGGGATAAGTTCTCCGCGCCTCACGTGGTGAACCACAGTAGGCGCCGCTGAGTAATGTTAGTCATATTCATTCATGACTACGTACAGTATAACAGTATAAGGGCGGGGGTAAAGAAGGGTTGGTGAGATTCCCTGCATGGACAATCATAACATTTCTTGTACGGGTTTCCAGCATTTTGTGGTTACCAATAATGGTTATGAACAATGGCTTATATACAGGGGGCACGGGATTGCGTGACCCTCCTCCCGCCTCCAATCGATAATATAATAATGTAATAATTGAACCAAATACATTTGTGTAGAATCATGAGAAATCAGGGATCAAGCATCACATTCCTAATATTTGTTTTATTCTCCGTGAACTTTGGTCACCTCATGCAGGGAATCAAAGCACAATTTCTTTAAATCTGATATACATGTACCTCCTTTATTATACTATTACTATACTACTGTTGACGTAATTACCGATCTGGGATTCGAACCCTCAACCTTTCGAGTTAAAGTCGAGTGAAATAACCACTATACCACAATATTTTGTCATACCTTTGAGGGCGACTTTACCCCGGTACTGCTCGATGTTGTCATAGATTGTCCACGCACTGGCCATCGGCTCTTGCCCTTTCGATGGACCCATCATCGGTGGTCAGTGATCACGCTCGATGGTAGTCAATGACGAGGGTGAATACAAATAGATATGTTTAAGCAGGCAGGTTGGTGTGTTGTGATGATGAACGTGCTTGGCAGAGAATATAGGCCTATTCGTGGAGCTAGGCCTTACTGGAATTCGGAGAAAACTGTTTGAGAAACATAGATAAAAGGAGTCAGTGTTTGGATCGAAATAACATTTAATCGATTTCAGGATTTGGCTTGTGAGAAATTTAGAATGTACCCTTCGGGGATTGAGCTAATGTGACAGGACCGATTTTTTGCATCATAATAGTTATAGATCTATTCTTGTTTTTATCAGCAGCACTATTGAAAATGTAATCATGCTGGAATTCAACAAAATCAGCACAATAACTCTTGTTATAAATCGTAATCATTATCATTATTATTATTATTATCACAATATTATCGCCATCACCATCATCATCATTATCATCATTATTACTGTCATAATCATAATTCCATCATCATTATCATAACTAATGACCACTCCTATCATCACCACTATCACCACAATTATTTTCATAATCACCATCATCTTTATCATCATTAATATTATCACACCATTTCCGTTGTCAATTTAAATTAATCACCTCATCATTATGAACACTACAATCATTATGCCTAGATCTATCCCCAATACCATAATCATCATAATCATTATCGTCATCTTCATAAGACTATCACCATCATCTTCATCACCATCACCATCATTACCATCATCATCATCATCACCATCACCATCCCCATAATTATCACCCTCACTTACCATGCCCCCTAAGCTGGAATTAAGTTTCCCGACCGCTTGCGAGGCGCCAAAGCTTCCTATTTTCCCGCTAGTTAAGACTCCAACAGCATTATTTTTAGGGGTAAAGCCTCGAGCTTCCAACGCGCACCTGTTATTTCAAAAGTGATTTAGATACGCTGCAAATACGCTCGTTACGCGCATTCGACATGCTCATTCACCACCAATCCAGTATTGTGGATGCGTAGAGAATAAGCGTATATTTCATATTAACGCGTTATGTAGTACTGTCTGAATGGTGCGCGCACAGGTTTTAGGGCAAAAAATCTCTCTTCTTGACGTCGTAGCTAGCTGTTCATGTTATCTCGCAATTGCCAATGCCAACATTTCCTGAAACATCACAGAGTACAAAAGAAGTACTTATCAACAGCCCTCAGCACTCCCAATCCTTCGAACTTTGAACTTTCTGCACTACTTAAATAATAACTATCGTCCAGTTAATATACATATACCGAGATACTGGCCAAAATTAGAGGGGAAAAAATAGCTACCAAAAAGCAAATTTTCGGCTTAAAATCTATATTTTACACACTGCATAATTATCTCAATGAAATTGATATCAACTGGAAGTATTTTAGTCATCCTTCATTTGACACAACATCCATGGCAGGCGCGTACGCAGGGGGGGGGGGTGTTTTGGGGGTTAACCCCCCCCTCGAATTCATTTATTTAGGGGTGCTGATTAAAAAAAAAAAATAATGCTCCTTAACCCCACCCCCTCCCCCCTGCACTGAGCGAAATAAATTTCGGGGGGATGGGGCAAAAAAGGCTCACTACCCCCCCCCCCCCACCCCCCCCCCCCACCCCCCAAACTGAGCGAAATATCGGTCAGCGCGATTTTGAACTTTTAAACACCCTCCTTGAAAAAATCCTGCGTATACAGGATTTAAACTAACCAAACATGTCCTCGATACACATAAACCGCTTAGAGGCAATTTGCATTTTGCGGTATACAAATATCTTATTATTATTATTATTATATGCAAATAGTTATTAGACAATATGGGCAAACATTTTCATTTTTGTGGAAATTAGATCACTAAATTCATGGTAGTTGAAGGTTTTCCTTAATTTCATCAAATTAAAGAGCCGCTTTTTTGGACGTCCTTTCCGATTTAGGGGTGTTCGCTCGAAATTGAATAAATCAATACCTCTGAAATATATTGTGTATTATGATAAAATCTCGCGAATTTACAAGGGGTGTTTAGTTTGTGGTAGTGGCAACCAACCCCAAAACTTAGTATTATTGGACTTTGGCCCTCCGTTCAATAGCGTGTAACTATATTACATTAATTTCGATCAAAGCTTACATTCAGCGAGGAATACAATCTAATATGCTATGTAAATGGGACCTATGCTATGACGTGGCAGCCTTTTCTTGTAAAAAGGCCATATTTCTTGCCCGACAATTGTGGCACATTTACTCTTTCGACAATGAGGAATAATATTGTAGTAAGCTTTAATAGAGGAATATGAAAGTAAATCGATTTCAAGTTAAATATTGCAGGTGCGCAGACATAGGCTTCCAAGGCTCCCAATCATAATATTCAGCTTGGTCTATCGTCGATCTGGGGTTGGTCACGTCGGTGGAACTGCGGCATATAGTGGCATATACTTGTCACGTAAATGCTCGTAACTGTTGTAGCAAAATCATTTCTAATTTCCTGCTCGACGCTTGCATGACATGCTGATGTACAAGATATATACGGACGAAAAGAATGGACAATAGTTTAGTTGCACTGTATAACACACTCTTCTGCTGATACAACGCTGTAACACACAAGGAGCATAGCCTTTGGGACAAAGCTATAGAAACTGAGGTGGTAAGTGGAATTCCTTTTTCTTGTACTGATGTTTCAGTTTCAGCTAATTGTTTTTTGTTGTTGTAATAAATAAATTTGAATTTCACAATGTTCACACACAATTAATGGTACTAACAAACTTGAGGTCAGTGGAATCCATTTTTCTAGTACGGCCTATTGATGTTTCAGTTTCAGTTCAATTGTTTCATTTAAAAAAAAAAAAAAAATTAAAAACATGAATTTTACAATGTTCACACACAATAAATGATAATAACTAACAAACATGAATTCTATGTCATTATAACTGAGAACATAAAAAAGGCACCTCGTATCTTGGCGTTGTGGCGTGCGCCTGTAATCCAGCTAACAGTGGAAGTTACAAACTGATTCAGGCGAAGACGCAGGTTCGAAACTGAGTCACGTCTTTCGGATGGTGACGTTTAAAGGTCGGTCCCCAGACGTAAATAATCATATCTCACGTCTGTGAAAAAAATAAAAAAAAGAATACACACACACACCTCGTATCTGATACTAGTTTGTATGGAGTGTTGACCGAGAAAGTATTGAACCAAAAGAAAATTGATTTCAGTATGGATGGGCCTAAGTTAAAAAAGCATTTGTAAGTTATCAACCCCACAGGTTGTGATTGAAATAAACGGTTACATCAATGCGTGATCCAATGGATAAATTGTTCGTACAGACAAAATTAATGTAAATTAAAGTTATAGAATTTGCATTAAAAAAGGGCAATGGATGTTAGCGTCAAAATATTTTTTTAAAAGTTCACATTATCATTCGATAAATTTGTTATTTTTACCCACTAAAAATAATACAAACTGGAAGCGAAACGAGATTGTTCTTACACCTATTCAAACGAATAGTATTATTAATGGCATTAATGTATGGAGTTTCCTGTCTTTGGATAAAATGACCCTTCATTCAAAGTTTGCACTCACTAATGTTTAGATCATAATTATAAACATTATTGGAAGACAATGTTCTTCTAGCACTATCGTTGTGTTTGTTTACATTATATTTCTCTATTGACACTTGTCTTATTGATACTTGTCGTATTGACACTTGTCTTATCTATTTTGTTTACATGTATATCTTAATCAACGTTTAGGAATTATTTGGCCAGGTCCTGATACCTCTTGCTAAAATGAACATTTTAATTCAAAGATCCTATTTATTTCATGTCACCAGAACAGAGATAGACCCTTCGATGTATGGGTATTGCCCGAATGTAATTCATGAAAGTTTCAGAATTGTCGGGAAGCTGCAGTCGCGTCCCCTTTTTTAATTTTCAGACGTGTAGCATATTATATGGAAACGTTTGCTTGGAGTTGTCTCATAAAGAAGTTGACCACAAACTAAACTCCCACACAGTGTTGAGTGCATGGGTCACGGGCCACTGGCTTCATCGGGCAGGTATAATGCGTGTGCATGCGGGACTTCCAGGTCAAAAAAGTCAATTCAGGCGCTGCATGCATGGAGGTTATTGGTCGAGCGTTTAGGCTTCCTTTATTTCAACAGCAATATACATACACAACCAATCAAAAGAAGTTTAATACCAGAAGAAAGCTAACGATTATTATATTCATTAGCCGCTCACTCCAAAGCCGCCTGCCCACAATGGAATGAGTGAGGGGTTGCGAGAGCGGTCGAATTAGGTGCAATTGAAACTCGCTATTTTGCCCTTCTCCAACGCAAAAAGAGACGACATTGTGCTGGATTAATATGTTTCTTTCAGACAAAAGTACAGAGAAATTGCTTTATTATTTTTTATATTATACTTTCAACTCCCGGGCACCCCAATGCTGGAAAGAAAGTCAAGTTTGAGAAAACTTCACATTTTCATGCAAACATGCTAATGGCTATGCATGCAAGTAAGCTTGAGCGGATCAACGTTTCCATATGGGGCATGTTTTTAATGACCACTGTTGAAACGATGATATCGAGTCAAAATAAATTGATCAAACAAAATAATGAACATGGCTATAAATCGAAGTAACTTTTTGTTTCTCTTCATAATCTACAGATTTTACAGGTGAATCGAAAAGCAGGGAATCAAACCGAAAGATGGCAACGACTGATGATGACTACAAGTTCACCGCGGAGGAAGCGTTCTGTTTCCTGCGCGACGTCTTGCAGATAGAATCTGCAGAAACCAAGCTTCAGGCCAACAAGGTCGCTTTTCTGGATGAGTTCATCAAAGCTATGACACATCACATCCCCTACCAAACTATCAAAGGAATCGCAATACCTGACGGTAGCCGTCGCTTACCAACAGCAGCGGACATCAAGACGGATATCACCTCGAAAGTGGGAGGCCTTTGTTACCAACTTCAGATTTTCTGCTGGATGTTGCTGCGTGCTTTAGAGTTCGACGTTCATCTGGCACCAGGAAATGGGTTTCATAAGAAAAATATCCACGTTGGTGTTGTTCTCATCGGCGTCACCTACCAGGGTTCGAAGCACTTGCTCGAAGTTGGGCTCGGCCATCCGACCTTCCAACTGATCCCGCTAAATTTTGAACACTCTTCACCTGAATATTGTGATTCTTATATGCGATATCGGTTTGTGCATCAGGGAGAGGATACGATCATCTTCCAGTCCAGCGCAGACACCGTTCCATCAGTGGCATGCAAGTTTCCAGAATTCATCAACGACGGGTGGTTTTCCTTCATCTTCTTTCATACTGACCAATCTGTTGGTGTGTCTCTTTTCGACTGTGCAATGATGAATATTTTTATTGTAGATACCGAGGAATATTTCCTTGCCAGCTTGCATTGCGTGGCTTACCCTAACGGTCGCCTGGTATGCATCAAGGATTCAAAACTAAGGCTGGAGGACGAAGCACACCAGATGCAGGTTTCTCACTTCCGGTCAAATAACGAGATTATAGAAGCCTTCGCGCGTTATTTCCCTCAATTTCCCGAAGACATGATCAAAGCTGCTATGGAGAATATTAAATTCAAACTGCCATAGGAAATGGAGGCCACGATCCATCTATTATTGTAGCCTAGCAACGGGTTCGGACCACTTGACCCGTGAGACCGAATATGAAAAAGGTTCCGCGAGACCGAAGGCTCCCGAGACCGCGCGCGTAAATTATGCCGCAAGCCATCTATCTAGTCCGAATTTCGGCTGCGTATGGTTGTCAAAATAAACATCATTAATGTCCCATTCACAATACAATAAATACATTATTATAAAGACCCTAG